CATCTAGTCAGTGTTTTTCAAGCTTGGCAACTTGGCAGCATGCTGGCTGGGGAATTCTGGGAGTTGAAGTCCACACATCTTAAAGTTGCCAAGCTTGAAAAACACTGACTAGATGATCTAGAATCTTCTTTCCGGTCTTTCCAATCCATCCCTTCTCCTTTTTTCCCCACAACAGTAACTCTGTGAGGTGGGTTGGACTGAGAGCAATTGGCCCAAAGTCACCCAGCCAATTCTAGCTTAATGTGATGGCCCAGTTCAACCCACCCTGTGAAGACAGTAGCTACTTCTCACAGCACACTGAACCACCACAAACGATCCAATCCCATTTTAACCTAGCCTAGCTTGTTGCGTGAACCCAGGGAATCTTTCCCTCTCATGCTTCAAAGCCACCCACAACTTTCAGTGATAAAATCCCCTTTTAAAACAATAAGACCCAGGGATGTCTAGGAGTAGGGGTGGGGCTTGTTTCAAAAAAAGTCGCGATGGTGGTTGTGACTGTGTGATCGAAGCCTGTCCTATTTTTATGGGTGTCACGTGTGTGACTCACATAGACCATCCTTCTCTATCTTGGGGCCCACTAGACCAACATCCCCCATCCTCAGTTGGAAGAAACAGTGTTGAAATGTTGAGAATTGAGACCAGGAGTTTAGTGTTCTGAAAGTTGCTGCTTGTGGTGTTTGAACAGACCAGTACTTGGATTGATTTTTCTCTTTAGACCATGGTGACGCCAATTACACAGAGATATTTCGGTTTTGGAGAACTGGAGAACAGCATCATGTATTTCCTGTGTGGTGTGGAGGTAAGGGTGAAAGTGGTGACACAGCCACTATGGTGTAACTGAGCAGTGTGTGTGTTATAGGAGATTTTCTCACTGTGCCACTTTAACAAGGTGCGGTGTCGGCCTCGCCAGGTAAACCAGGTAGGGATCACAACCAGATGAGCTCATTCCACTTTATTGTAAAGCTCAAGTAACGGAATGTTGCAAGTCTGAAAGTACCTTTCTCCCCCAGTCTCCTTTACAGCCCGAGAACCTGGGGAAAGTGTCTTCTGAGCTTCTTGCCCTGCCCACTGTCCATCTGCGGGCTGTGCTGTCTCTTATCTGACCATTTCCTTGGCAGCGTCTCTTCGCCCCACCTCCCAAGGTCTTTCCCACATTCTGTTACATGCAGACAGGAGCTGAGTCTCTGCTGCCACGTCTTCTGATGCGCTTCTTCCATATCAAATCCAAAGCAATGCGTCATCCTTCCGTTTACCTCTCCCTCTTAACATCTGATCTTGGCTGATGATAGACAGCAGTTGTTAAGAACTGAAAATGATTTGTGAGAGACATTTTAAATATAGTTTACATGTGACGCTCATTTTGCTCTGCCTCGCCTCTGGTAAACAGGTTTGGCAGGTTTTTAAATATGGTGAAAACCTGGCAAACATTTTGAGAAAATGGGGTTGTGAGTGTATAGTATAAATAGTGATCTTTTTAGGATCTCTCTCTCTCTCACTCTCTCACTCTCTCTCTCATTGTTGCTCGTACTCTAGGGATAAAAGGGAGTCTTCTAAAAGATGACAATTGATGGTTCTGTGAGTCACAGTGAAGGCCATGGTCACCATTTACATATCAGTATCCATCTCATGATTTCACATGATATAGTTAAGCTGGTTACTGAATTAATCTAATTTTTCTGGGTTTGCTTAATACATTGAAACATAAATTAAACTAGTGGGTTTTCATGACAAGCTGTGTCATACATGCAAAACCCCTAAGCAATTAGAGATGCCAGTTTAGCATAAGCTATAGCCCTGCTTTCTGGAGCAGATTATGATCTATTATTATGAGGGTGCTATTCTTTATTTGGGGGGGGGGTTGACCTAGTCATGGTGAGACCACAGAGGGCATGACTCTGCCATGGTTTTCCTTCTTTGGTTCTTGTTTAGTGGGGAAGGATCCCCATTCAGAGGCAGGCCCCTCCTTTTGAATGCAGAAAGATTCCGGAGTAATTCTTGATCTCTTTGATTAATAATCTGGAAGCATGCAGTGAGAGTCATTGCACCTAGATGGTCTGATTACACCAGAGTTTCTCAGCTTTGGCAACTTTAAGATGGGTGGACTTCAACTCCCAGAATTCCCGCTGGGGAATTCTGGGAGTTGA